AAAAAACATAGATCTTTGGGGGGGGGTACCATATATATATATATATACATACATACATGCATACATTACATGCATTACATACATTACATGCATTACATACACGACATACATTACATACACTACATACATTACATACACTACATACAATACATGTATTACAGACATTACATACATTACCATACATTCATACATTACATTACATCCATACATACATACGTACATACACACATGCATACATGTTTATCTATTTACCCACCTGTGTCTCTGCATGCCTGAGCCAAGCATAGTCACCTTTGTGTTTGTGTGTGTGTGTGTAAATGTATGTTTCTCTTTAGCGATCTCTCTATATATATATATATATGTACGAGTGTGGAAAGATATATGCGCACAGATGCTGCAAAAGTCTGCAAGCTTAACTCAATGGTCCTTCCATCATGATTCCCAACATACTAAGTATCATTGAACAACGGAACAACCACTGAACCCGTATCCCACCAAACAGAAACGTACAATGTTGCCACTGCCACGGCCCTGCGCAAGCCACAGACTCAAGCTTGAGCTGCCAACACCTACAATCAAAACACCTGAACCCGCAAATATGTCACCACAGTTCTTACATACTATGCATGAATGCCACTACTACTTCTTCTTACGACTGTCCCTGCTAAAGTACCATAAACACACAGCCCCAATACCTTGTAGCCGAACCCTTGCACCCGAAACCCTACTTGTCACCGGATTCTAAGCCCTGCACCCCTCGAGCTCGGTTGCGTGGTCGCTGGCCATCTCAACCCTCGGGATTGTTGTCAGTAGATGACGACACCGTGTAAACAGCGTGTTATTATGACTTATACAGCATGCAAGGTAAAATAGAACAGTATAACGAGCACACATACAGACAGACATACATACTGGCTGCTTACATACATCCATACATAATGCCTCAATGCTGAGCTTGGGGTATTTACTTCAGCAGTAGCCAACAATGCCAGGACGGTCAATACCGGCATTCCATTAAAGGCTGTTCAGGGCAATGTTAAGGGAGCCGTGCAGAAGGACTGTTGAAGGAAAAGCCCCTAGACTCTAAACCTATGCAAAGCAGCATCTCGAACAGCTGTTCACCACCAGTGTCTGCTAGCGAGGGTAGATGCGGTCAGAGGTGAGATCAGGGTTGTGTTCAGATTCATGGTTCAATCAGATATGAGGGGTATCAACAAGACTTCAGTGTCGTCACCTTTGCGGTCCAGTCTTGGGGAGCCAGGTCGAATAATGGCGTTTCGCGTCTAGGACAAGAAGTCAATAGAGTATCTTGGTTAAGCAGCATTAGATTTAGGGTCTTACTAGGTTGTAAATATTGGAAAACATGCTTAGTCTTAGGCTTTCATGCTAGCACTCATAATAGTAGGGTGAGTCTGACAATCCGTGTCATGTGTAGGTCTGTTGTCAGGGACACTATGACTACTAGAAACAATCTCTTGCGAAGCGCGTACTGTTCAACTAAAGCTTTGTGCCTTAGATGTCAGTGAGCAACATACACAAACATGCTACAGGCTACCGTTCTTCATATTCGGCTTGCCTTGCATGCAAAAAACTTTCGGTAGTCACCTTTGACTAGAACCATCATCATGAGATGCATCACCCTCACGATTCTTAGCACGGGTACTCTGCCCTAAGGGATTGAAATACATATATAAAGACATATTACATATATTGGTATATATATATGTATGTGTAAGAGAAGGTTGTGTGTTGCAAGGTGTGATAGGGAGTTTGTAGTTTAGAGATGTACAGAGCACTGTGGAGGCTCTTTGTCGGGGTTCTAGCAGGTTGCAGAGGGTCTTGCAGGGTTTGATACTGGACGTGTTGTCTGTCCAGGCTGCTTGGACTTGTGAGCTTTTGCAGAGCATTTCAAGCAAGATCCTACAACACAGTGAGCTATGGTAGTTCAACGTGTAGGCTAAGCTGCTGAAACCTAGACCCGAGTCCAACACCAGCCTTGCTAAACCACATATATACTATCTAGCCAGAATTGCTAAAATCAAGCATCCTGAAGCAGAACAAGGTAGGGCCGACAAAATGAGGATGTGAGCTTGGGTTTTCGGATGGTTTCAGGAATGACTACACAGGATTTATTGCGGATCGAAGGTTTACTAGTGTTTTTCCTGCTGGGGGATCTTCGCAGGTTTTCTGTCCGATTCAGTTGTCCAGGATCTCGCTTGGTTTAGTGGAACCGCTCATAGCGTAAGGCTTGGATGTTTCACGTCTCGAACCGGCTTGAACTGTGCTACAGATGTGGGAGTTCCAAATTGCTTGCATTACACCCCACACATGTAAACCAATGTAAACACACGAAAGACAACCAAGCAAGCAGGTTGCTCTGCAGTGTCACGGATTTACAACAAGCCTTCAGTTCCAACCTAAAACTCCCACTGGATCATGACCATACTCATGCATGAATCACAGCCAACTATTCCGAAATATTCAGGCTCCCATGTTGGGGCTTGTGTGAATTTGACGTATTCGTTAAAGTCCGAGCATCAAGTACCGAAAAGCCCACTCAGGCTTGTCAGTGCGACAAAGCTCCTTCATAGGCCACGGATGTACCGCATGGGTCAGCGGGTGGGTTCCGGGATCTGTGTTTTGGCATCCTTATGCTACGGATCGTACTATTCAGGGTCTATGTTGGCATCGCTCGTTTGATGAGACTCCTAACCACGGCTTCAGGGTGTGCTCTGCTACTATCCGCATATTGGGCGTGAAAGAACCTCTGAGGCAGGCTTCTGGGTTCAGAGCAGCCTCCGGAAAGTTGAACACAACGAACACAATCACAAGCCTGTAAGAAAGCCCATCCTCCTTTGAGGATTCAGCAAACCTCAAGTAACCACATCTTCATGAGGCTCCACAGTACTGGCACTCTTCCCCCTCACTCTCTGTCGGCTGGGCGCCTAAACCCTACGACTCCAGCTTGAGGGTTCAGGGACAAGGTGACCAGGCTACTGGGTTGGTTAATTTAGGGCCCTCCGTAGGAGAGGCAGTTTTCCCCTTGCCTCCGTAGGATTAGAGGTATCCTCTGCAACAAACACCTTCATTCTGCAATGCTAATGTTTGAATGGCTGCCTAGGCAGCAAGCGGTTTCCAGTCGTTGGAACGATTTATGGTCTGCCTGTAGCTCAGCTTTGGGATATTATCTTGCATTGACACTTCAAAACGCAAGTTTTGCGATTGAAGATTGAAGCCTGAAGCCACCCCTCGGGCCTCCCCGAACAATAACCCAGAACGAGCTGTGCGTCGAGAATGTCGGGCTTAGGAAATCAAGCCACGCAAGCCCGGAGAAGAAGCATGAAAGCTGATTGTAGCTATAAAACCCAAAAGCCATGTTCACACTGAAAGCCAGCAGCACCCTTGCAAAATGGAGGAGCTAGAAACACTTTTGGACAACCCCATACAGCCTGCTCCTTTTATGAAGCCTTGCAGGACACTCTAAAGCCGAATGGAACCCTAAAGCTCAACAAATCTTGTCATGCCTGAAGCCCTCAACTGCAGTGCGGCTCTACCATGTCCCAGAATCGGAATAGCACCATCAACTCTGCCCTAGCCCTAACCTTCTCAGAAGCCGAGCCACACTGTCCGGCCGGCAGAAGTGGTGTCGGAAGCGGGCCACCAAAGGGGTCGCCAGCGCTTGGCACGGCCAGGACCCACTGTCCTCTTGCAGAGTTTTGGTATCAGCGGTTTCTTGGGCAGTAACATGTAGGTGACGATCATGTGATCTGTTTTCGAAAGAGCTATTGCAACGCTTGCACAGGGATTCACAACTCTTTTCACCATGGCTCGACATGGGGCACGGTGTAAGCGGCGTCTTCCTGATCTGTTTCTATAGTAGCAACCATTTTTGCAAGCAGGCCACTTTGCAAGAAGCGTTCTGAGAAGCCAAATGGTCCCAGGAGGCTGGCGAAGACATTGAAATAATCGTGCGACATCGAACATTGTGGAATGTGATGATAGTTTAGGGTTCCGACTTAAAGTCTGTAAGCTAGTTCCTCGCAGCACGAAGGCCACCAATTTAGGGCACCTTGGATTGCTAAGCACAACCTATTACGTTGGGGGCATTGCCTCCTAGCATATGTCATAGGCCTGCCATAGCCAGGCTCTGCTGATAAAACCGACAAGAATAAATAAAGCCGAAACCCCTGAAGTCGTGCACCTTCGGCCACAAGAAAAAAGCCAACTCCCCACGCCAACCCTGGCCTCTTGCGGTGATAGCTCGGAGCCTGCCGGAACGTTCGAGGAGATGTTGTCACGAGGATTGAAAGGTTTGAGCCACAGTGTTCCGGCTATACCCGTTCATAACTTTACATGCGGTGTCCTTCGAATCTTGCTCCAAAGCGACTTCTGGCTGTGGAGTCAGACTGCCAGAAATCGCCTCTCGGACTTGATTCTTTGGCTTCAGGCTGATGCTTTGGGAATTCGAACTTCGGCTTGAAGCTCGGTATACAAGCCACTTAAGCCCTGAGCCCTGAGTCGCACCGTGAGCACTTAACCTCATATGATTCATTCTTGGCGCGAGGAATCTGATGACGACGAAACCTGACAAAGCACACCTTCCAGCTGCCGAAGATTCTTCGCGGATTCCTGCAGGGTCTGGGCTGTAGGCTTTTTGGCGCTTGTGTCGTGGAATTTGGGGTCGTGGATCAAGGGCCGGCGCATCAAGGGTGCAAGGTCTGCACGCTTGGGAGTGAGAGCTGGGTTTGGAGTCTACGAGCACCAGAAGAGCATAGAAGGGCATGGTACAGCTACATTCCAATGGGCCACATCGAGCCTACTGGGAGTGAAGGTTTGAGTGCTCTCACAAGACTTTTGCGATTGTGTTCGGGAAACTAGTAACCAGGTTCAATACCCGAAGCTCGGACGAAAAAAAGCGAGGCAATAATAGGTCCGTGGATGTGGACTAATGTGGTGAAGACAGGGGTCCTCCCACAGGTTGGATCGATACACAATGCCTCGGGAAGTTGCTCAAAGGCGACGTGACATTCAACTGGTTGCCTGGAACATTCGCTGTCCAGGCAATTGCAGGACTGCTTTGATGAGCCGCCCTTTCCAACGCGCACGCTACACCATGAAGTCTTCACTCCTCGCAAGCAGAACACCATCCCCACCCTTCAATGCAGACATTGCTGCCCAACCGCCGACATACCTGCATCACCACCCGGAACTACTTGTACCCCAATCCCGGGTGCCTGGAGCTGAGCAAGGCGGCGACAGAGCCGCAAAGCCTTCTCCCTGGTGTCCGCGCCTGTGCAAAGGAGCGTTCAAGGCTCGATTGGCTTTAGGAACTTCATGGCTCTAAAGTTGGGGCTTCAAGTTATAACTTTTCACGTTCAGCTTCGGGTCTTGAGCTGTGTTCCGCGAGACGGTAGCAGGTATGGTGTCGAACTTGTCACTCGGAAAGGCTTTTTCAACTTTGCCGTCGGACTGTTACGAAATTGATAGGGTTGCTACCTGCAGAAGTTAGAGCCCGTCTTCTTTTCTGCCTGAAGCTTGGGATTTGGGCGGGAGCCATTGCCAGCTGCTGCTGCTGCTGCTGCTGCTGCTGCTGCTGCTGCTGCTGCTGCTGCTGCTGCTGCTGCTGCAGACAGGGACTCAATGATGCTGATAGCTCCACGACCGTCTCTGGGACGAAGCCTGCTATGACTCACCACCATACCGCTGATTCTGAGGCTTGCCCCTGCATGTTTGCCGCTTGCTCGTGCCACCATTCAGAATGCTTTCATGCCTTGCACAACCCCCTCGACATTCCCAAAGCAAAACCCTCCATTCTGGCCGGCCGCAATGTTTGGTGAGGATTCTGAGCTCCGAAGCTGGGGCTCCCCCTCCATCGCACGTCATGATGATCTAGCCTGGACCCTAAAGCACACCCTGAAGCCGCAACGGTCGCATGTGTTCTACCTTGGGGCGATCTTGACGTTGAAGCGTTTGCATAGTCTGTGCTCTGCGAGCAGCAAACCCAACCCTCAAGTCGTCGAGCATGAAGCTCCCAACCATGCCCTGAAGCGTTCATCCTGAAACCACTCCACAGTCGACGACACTGCAAACCTTTCTGAGACCGACGTGACAAAATCTGAAACCCACAAGGCATCTCAGAACGCTGCGGACCCCCTAGATCCCAGTAAGAACACAGCGACAGACCCCGTAAGCCCGAAACCTGAAAACGAAGCACAGTGAGAGCAACTGCCACAGGCCTTGATGCACAGATGCTCCCGGCTCCTTCGCAACTCAGCACTCCCTTGCCCTATACTACTATGCGCTCTTGGAAGGCTTAGAGCCTCGGAGATGTGGACGCCTCTCGTATTATGCGCGCGGCTGCTGGTGGTAGTCGCAGCAGTAGTAGGAGGAGGAGTAGTAGCAGTTGCAGTAGCAGCAGTAGCAGTAGCAGTAGCAGTAGCAGTAGCAGTAGCAGTAGTAGTAGTAGTAGTAGTAGTAGTAGGAGGAGGAGACTTTGGGATTTCGGAAAGCTTCAGCGAAAACTCGAAACTGGGTGGGGGGATGCCTTTTCGGGGATGATCGCGAGACTGCTTCGCGGACACTGATCAAGATCTCTACACCCGAGCGCGCACACACACACACCACACAGTGCTTCAAAAGCAAACCCTGCTACGCCGAGGCCTGGGCTTTAGGGGTGTTGGCGAGCTCCTCCCACGTACAGCTGGCATCTTTGTTTTTGATGTTTATAAGATGTGTTTAAAGGATGTTGCGGGTCAGAATTTCTGGGCGTGATAACACCTTCTTGGCAGCACCTGCGTTTTGCACGGTATTTACAGCGATTTCGTACTATGCGACCACCTGTGGTTTGGCAGTTTCTTCCCCGTGGAGTTTGCAAGGAAAGTGAGCCTCGGCAACCTCTACAGCTGTCACAGATAAGGAGCCTGAGCCCCTGTATGTTCTGCAGCTGTCGCTAGAAGCTGCCATTGCCCAGCCCGGATGGAGCAAGTGTAGTTGGTAGGGCGGGGGGGGGG